AAGAACTAAATTGTGGATGTCAGGGAAGAGAGTCTCCATATTTCCTTCTGCATGCCAATCATCCTTCCAAAACCTAGTTTTTATGCCATCTACCACTTTGATCTTGGTGTTAGGTTTGAATTCATTCCAAAGTTCTCTAATGGATTTCCATAAGCTAACACCATAAGGGGTGGTAACCTCCTTTGTCATCCAACTATCACACTCTCTTCATATTTTGCCTTTATGACTGAGCCCCACAGATTCTGATTATCATTTGAGTACTTCCAAAGGCACTTCATCCTCAAAGCTTTACTCTGGTTCTTCATATTCTTGATCCCCAGACCCCCAACTCTCTTTTCAGTGATCACAGTTTTCCATTTGACTAAGTGATATCCTCTCCTTTCCTTGTTCCCTTGCCATAAAAAAAGCAATTTCTCCTGATGCTATCCAACCTATTGATGATTCCCGGTGGGATAGGAAATAATGACATCATATATGTTGTAAGTGCATCAAGCACATAATTAATCAAAGTTAGTCGTATTGAGACTTCCACCTTCCTAGCCTCTTCTCACACTTCTCAATCACCCCATCCCAGATTTCCATAGAGTTGGATTTTTCCCCCAAAGGCATACCCAAGTATGTGGTTGGGAGGACACCCACTTTACCTCCCAATATTGACTTCAAAATTTCCATGTTTGGTACTTCATTTACCGGATACAAGAAGCTTTTTCCTCCAATTGACATGTTGCCCAGAAATAGCTTCAAAAATAACTAGAATCAGTCTCAATATTTTAAGGTAGTCTTCCTCAGCATCACAAAAAATTAGGGTGTCATCTGCATATAGTAAATGAGTGATCTCTAGACTTTCCCTTCCAGACTCTAGCAACTTCAAAACCTCTCAGCCATCCTTCATTGCATGCATTCTTGATCATATTGTTGAGTCCCTACCATGACTAGTATGAAAAGGAAGGGTGATAGGGGATCACCCTGCCTAAGACCTCTCTGTGACCTAAAAAATCCTGCTGGAGAGCCATTTACCAATACTGAGAAGTTCGTTGAAGATATGCAAAATTTAACCCACTGTCTCCATTTTGTGACCAAAATCCCATCTTCTCTAGCATACCCATAAGAAAGTCCCAATTGACATGGTCATATGCTTTCTCAATGTCTAATTTGTGTAGAATTTCTGGGTTTTTTTAGACCAACCTGGAATCTACAACTTCATTAGCTATGAGGACGGCATCCATTATCTGGCTCCCTTTAATAAAAGCTAATTGTTGTGAATCGACAAGTTTGGACATCACTTTTTTCAACCTTTCAGTAAGCACTTTTGAGAAGATCTTATACATACTACCTATCAAGCTAATAGGTCTAAAATCCCTCAATTCTTTTGCACCTTTCTTCTTTGGGATTAGGGCTATGAATGTAGAATTCAGACTTCTTTCAAACCTCCCTTGTTCATGGAAGTGTTGAAAAGTCTCCATTATGTCACCTTTCACCACCTCGCAGCATTTGATATAAAACTCCATAGTAAAGCCATCTGGTCCTGGTGCTTTATCAGTTGCACACTGCTTTAAACACCTTAGAACTTCTTCCTCGTCAAAGCTTCTTTCAAGATCCTCCTTTTCCTCCCTTGTCAACCTTGGGCAATTTAAAAAATTGTTGGCAGGTCTCCACTGCAACTCCTCTGTATAAAGCTTCTGATAGAACTCCACTATTTCCCCTTGGATTCTTTTTGGTTCTTGGACAATGTTCCCCTGGACTAGCAGTTGGTCTATGTTATTGTACCTCTTGTGTGCATTAGCTATCTTATGGAAGAACTTGGTGTTCTTATCCCCTTCCTTTAACCAAATTGATCTTGATCTTTGCCTCCAGTAGATCTCCTCATTTTTTATCAGATCCTCCAAGTTCAGAAGTAACCTTGCCTTTTCTGTTGCCTCATCCTCAGTTAGACCTCTATCAGTAGCAATGTTTTCCATAGCAGCCAGCTTTTCAAGTAAAGATTTTCTCTGTTGGCCTAGATTCCCTTGCTCACTTCTGCTCCACTCCTTCAGTTTGTGTTTCAGCGCTTTTAATTTGGATGCAAGGATGTAATCAGGCCTCCCAGTATAATCAAAAGAGTTCCACCATGTCCTTACTCTGTCAATGAAATCTTCAGTCCCTAACCACCAGTTCTCAAACTTAAAATAACTCTTGCTCTTCTTCCAGGAACCACCTTGGAGTGTGATTGGAGAGTGGTCTGATAATATTCTCTGCATAGTGTACTGTTTCAAGTTGCTAAAAGCATCATCCCATTCTTGAGATACCAAGACCCTGTCAATTCTTGAAGCTATCAGGTGGTTATCCCCTTTGAACCAGGTGAACTTTGCATTTTCTAGTTGAAGATCAACTAGGTTTAGATCCTCGATCAAATCAGAGAACTCTCGCATCCCTATTGTTCTCCTGATACAGTTCCTCTTTTCCGAGACATATCTAGCCTCATTAAAATCACCACAAACTTCCCATGGACCTTCTATTAAACCTCTGATAGAGCCAATTTCTTCCCATACTAGTCTTCTTTCCACATAGCAATTTGGAGCATATACTCTTGTTATATGGCATGAGAAGTCCTGCACCTGTGATTCAAATTTACAGGTAAGGGTATATGTCCCAATCTCTAGAACTTCCCCTTTGCATATTCCTTTTTATAAGGCTTATCTTGTTGGTTTGTATGGCACTTCCCATCTGGTGTAGGTTAAAGTTATTCAATTCTACGTGCCAAAGTGATTATCTTCGTTTTGCAAAAGAAAATGATTACGTTCTTTTGTAGTTCATACATGGAAATTTGGTTTTACATACTTATATGAATATGTTTATTTCAATCTCTTATCTTTCTTATTAGTTTTGGAAAATCTCACTTAGTGTGTTCTTGATATCCTTGTGTGTGAAAACGCTTCAATGATGGTGAACTCCACTATTGTTTTGCAATGGACAGACTAGTTCCCGAGAAAATGGTATTAGGCTTCAATTTATTTGCATTAGAAGAAAATAAAGATATAACTATTTGATACTCTCTAACTTGTTGATCTCTTCATTGTTCAATGCATTTGTGTATGTGTACATGTCTCTCTGTGTGTGTGTGAACACAGACGTATTTATGCCTGCATCATACCTTTGATAGTTTTCATTAACTCTTTGATCCATTTAGTCAAGGAGAGAATATGAGAAGCAAGTGGCTGATGAAGAAGACGAGCAGCTGCGAAGTTTTCAAGTAATTTAGTGTCATTGTTCAACTTCATTGGGGGCATTTGAGAGTTGGAATGAAGGATAAGGGATTTTCATTTATTTTTTTATTTTTATGGTTATAATATTTTAATTATGCGAAATGGGGGTTGGATTAGAATATTTGAAAGTTTAGGGTTAAAATTAAGGGTAAAGTTTTGGGGGTTTTGGTGGGTTTCATAATTTTTTTAATTTTAACCCTAAACTTTCAAATATTCTAATCCAACCCCCATTTCGCATAATTAAAATATTATAACAAAAAAAATAAAATGAAAATCCCTTATCCTTCATTCCAACTCTCATATGTCCCTTTTAGCTCGTTTTCAAGAAGATGAGCATTCTCTAGGGTCTATGAAGAATGCTGATCTTTTTCTTGGGTTTTTTAGGCTGCTGTTGCTGCAAAGTCTACGATTGTACACGAAATCAAGGAGATGCCTCTTGTTCCCAAAGTCCAGGTTAGTCTCTAAACTGATTATGCCTTGAGAAAAGCACTGTATTTTTAATGATCGTGTCTTATTGTTTCTTAGCCACCATTTTATCAGCATTGCGCCCAATTTTTGAAATTCTCTGCCTTCACTTCTGCTGTATGGCCTTAGTTTTATGATATATTAATAAATGGTCAAATGATGTGACATGTATGTGGAACTAATACCAAAATGGCTGTTGGTCTTTTATCTGAACTATCAACAATGTTATTTCTTTTTAATGATTTCATAGTCTCTCTGAACTGAGATACCAATGGTCTTTCATAAACGTTGAAAAATGACAAAGCTAGGTGCACGTCAGGGCGGTCATGCTGGCATTTCGCCTAGGAAGTGCCTCAGGGCATGCGTCTCATCATCCTAGCCAGTGCCTTAGGGGATGTGTCTCATCGCTAACCAGTTCCTCAGGGATTAGGTGGAAAATCATTCCTGCTTGCATCTGGTGGAGTGTGTGGAAAGAAAGGAATTCCAGATTTTTGAAGGCACTAGCAGTTCTATCCATAAAATTAGGATAAATTGTCTTAGTCTGCTCTTTTTTTTGGTGTAAACAAAATATATGAGGGTAAGTAGGTGATTTAGTTGATTTAATTGGCAATGATCGTTTTTAAGACAGTGGTCTTTTGTACCTTTTTGTTGTTTTTGTAAAGATTTCAGGTGTCTACGTCTTGTTTAATAGAAATTCAATTGTTACCTCCCTAAAACAAAGGAGCCATTAATAAGTATAGAAAACCTTACAATGCTGATGCAGAAGAACGTCCATTTAATCCATTTCCTCCCCAAATCCATATCCTTCAAGACTTAGTTAAGTTACAATTGACATGGTCATATGCTTCTCCAATTTACATAGGACTCCTGGTATTTGACCCCTCAAACTAGTATCCTCACAATTGTTGGTGATCAAAGATGCATCCATTATCCGTCTCCGAATGCTATTTAATTCTTGTGCACCATCTTTTTTAGTCTTTCTGTCAATATCTTGGAATTGATCTTATATACAAATCCATTTTTTATCAAGAAATGTAAGTACAAGTTCGTGTTGGTGATAAGTGATAATTTCTACACCACACAACAAACCAACTAACAAGAAAATTAGCACCAAGGAGTAAGTAAATTCAGAAGGGAGATAAATTCCCCAACCAAACATTTTAATAAAAGGAATCAGTAATTTTACCCATGATAAAGCTGATTACTCAGTGAAAAGAAGAGGAAATTCCCCGATAAAAATAATAATAATGAAAAAGAAGGAAATCCCCCCCCCCCCCCCCCCAAAAAAAAAAAGGTTGAAGGAATAAAAAATATATAGGTGATAGAGCTGATTAATCAGTGAAAAGAAGAGGAATTGTTGGCTGGCAAGTAGGGATGACGACGGGGCGGGTTGAAGTGGGTTTTTTTTAAATTAATGCAGGGCGAAACGGGTTGCAGGTATATGTGATTTTATGTGGGTTCAAATTTAATTTTAACTTTTTACATATTTATAAGAGTGATAGAGCATTATTTATTAAGATAATTTATATAAATCTACTAAAATATTCGAGATAGTATATGAAAATGGTTCAATAAAAAAATAATACAATATCTTACATGTTTTCCAATTGACCCCTAAAAAATAATTTTTTAAGTTACTATCCTATTAAATTAATACAACCTAATGAAAAAAAGAATTTATTGTTATGAATTTTATTTTTAGTATTAAACTTAACTAGAAAAAGAAAATATTAAAAAAGTTATGCAGGGCGGGTTCATGCGGGGCGGGTTGAAAATGAAAAAAGTTGTTATGTGGGGCGGGGCGGGGCGGGGCGGATTATAAAATTTGCGGGTTAAGCTCAACCCGTCTCACCCCCACCCCGCACCGCCCCATTGCCATCCCTACTGGCAAGTGACAGCTAGGAGGTAAGCCAAAATGACATACTGCAACAACTATTAATTTACTAGCGAGAACTTGAAAAGCCTGTGATCAAACTATTCAATATTCTTTTTCTTACTGCTGCCTAGGAGCTCCCATTTTTCTTTTTGCTCCCTTGGTGACTTGAACCCACTACCTTAGGGTTAGAGGTGGAAGAAAGCTTACCATCTGTGCAACCCCTTCTAGTCAACTATTCAAGATTCAGTTAATTAAATTTAGAATCTGAAACTTCTATCTTTGATATCAATAGTAAGTTTCCAATTTTAGATAAATGGTAAGTTTTCCTGGATATCTTCCGTATTTCACATTTTCCTGTGGGCATAGGGTTCCTGTCTTGTACAATAAACAAATGGCCACTCTTAACTGTGCCAATCTATAAGGGAAGGGAAAGGGGAGTACTCGTTACATGACCAATATAATTGATGTTGAATTTTGTGTGGTGTATATCAATATCATTATGAAACAACATTTGGCAAGATGTAACGCATTGCATTGTTGGTTGATGCAGGAGCCGAAATTAATTAAGAGGAAGAATCCTCCAGCTAATCCATTGGGAATGATTGTCAAAATCAAGCCACAAGCTAAGAAAGCTAAGATGGATCTGGTATCTTCCGTCTCTTCTTTGACAACAGCTACCAAAGCATCCAATGATGACAAAAAACAGCCTTCATCAGATGTTGATAACGTATCCAAATCTGAAACAGAAGAATCCCAGAGATTAACAAAAAGACCTAGTGCTAATGCTGACAACCACGAACCTGTTACAATAGGTGGTTTGGTTTCATATAGTGATGAAAGTGACGATGATTGACTGTGGCATGTTCATATATTAATGAGAATTTGCCTTGGTTTAACCACATCTCGAGAGGAACTAAAGCCAAACAAATTCACTGTCACATCCTCTTTTATGTGTTCTAGCAGAGACACAAACTGCTTTCTTCAAACACGTACAATATTAAATTTCTGTAGAAGATAACATGATTTTTGTAGGTGGCCCAGACACCACGGTCATCAAAAAACACTAGGTGATTCTTTCCATCTGTTCTAGCCTTGGTGGATAGAGTTACTTGGTATATGTTGCTGGTGGGAGGTGGCAAGTATCCCTTGGAATTAGTCGAGGTGCGTGAAAGCTGGCCTACAGTCATAAAAAAAACATGTTTTTTTTTTGTAGTAGTAAGAGTATGGTTTAAATAGTGCAGTCATCCTCGGCTAGGTTTTTGCTTCTTTGGAGCAAGGATGAAGTCAATGAGTTAGGATTTTGTTTACTTCTTAGAACAAAACAATTAAAGTATCTGTTGTTATCAAGAAATTTGGGGTTGTTTAGGTTGTGCTGCTCTACGGAGGGGCTATATTGGGGACAGATTTGACACATTTGTATGTGTAAAAAATGTCAGAAGTCACACAGGCAACAAATATATATATTAACAGAAATCACACAAGTTAATGAATACACTTTTTGATAGCAGGAGAGACATTAATTAGTTAGAGCATCATCATGATCCTTGTTCATCATGTTGAGAAATGTAGGAAGATGGTGGCTGTGGACGCACCAAGTCATGAGCCTAATGCCATTTTCAGGCAAAGGCTGTTTGCTAACAATGCCTACAGGTATCACAGCAGACCCTTGTACTGGTATAACATGCACAGGTTTGCCCCATCCATAATCAACCTCATTAAAACCCAATCGTCCCCACTCCGAGATAAACAATGTGTCGTAACCCACTCCTGGTCCTGGTGCGAATGGATCGTTGAATTGATCATCATTCGTAGATTTGTTAGTCTTGTTATTGAGCCATTGTGAAAATTCTGCTGGTAGGTCAGCCTTGGCATCTTTGATCAGCTTCACTACCTCAGCAAGAGATGCTTCGGCCACTACTTTGTTTGAAGCCTTTACAGTCACCGGGAAGAAACAGTTCCCGTAGAACCCTTCTGGTAGCGGCACTAGTTGTCGACAATTAGCGAAGAACACGAGTTTCACTTCTTCATCACCTGCATTAGTGGCAAAATCACGAATTTCACTAAGAGAATTCAAAATTGAGTATGTATATAGAGTATAATCATCCGATGAGGGGGTCAATTGGCCATCCTCTGTTGGTTGTAACTCTGCTACTGACCTGCGTCATCTGCAGGAATAAAGCTTGTATTCGACGAGGAGTTGGAGGGATTCTTCTTGTCATCTGTTATATTCAAAATTGCTCGGGTTCGGTGCCTCCACAAAGTAGCAGCTATACTCTCAAAGGAGGAACAAAACACATTTTGATCCATTTTTAACTCTTGCATCACTTGGTGTTTTAGCTGATTGATCTCATCCAGGGGAATGTTGAAACTAGCATGCTCCAGCCGCTGATCTGGTACTGGAATAGTGAGTGGTGGTGGCATTGACGAGTTGTCTTCTGCAACTCCTTTTTGTGGAGGTGGGAGGAGAAGCTCCCTGCACCACACTGGTGCAACGCTCAGTTTCTCAACACCCCTAGCGAACTCACCCACTGCTTTTAGAAACTGTGCAGCACCCAGTCCGTCACATATACTGTGACAGAAAGTAAGTCCCATAACATATCCACCGCACTTAAATTCAGTTACCTGTACATGATCATGACAATGACAATCGTATCGTTAACTATTTTATCACCTAGTTCTCTCTGAACATATGTGCACTAAAAAAAAAAAAATATATATATATAGCTAGTTGTTTACCTGCACAAGCACCAGTGGGTCAATGAAAGAGTCATAACCAACAGGAAGTGGAGTAGAAGAATGAACTAGTTGAGGTAGAAGTTTATTAAAAGTAGTGTCATCTAAAGCTGAAGCTTCATCGAAGTAGTTGACATCGAGGAGAGTACAATCAGCAGAAGCCTCAACAAACCAAATTCCCTGACCCGAACAATCAATCTGGAGAAGCTGGTTATTGTGTGCTGAGAATTTCAGACGACCTGCTAGCGGGTAATAAGGAACCAAAGCTTTTCCAAATGCCTCTTGAATGACAGTAGCATTTCCTCCTTTAAAGACGTGTAGTGTACGAGCATTGCATCGAAGAACAGCTAAACTGTCTATGACTGACAGATCAAGCACACTACCAGTTGGAGTTTGTCCTGATGGTGTTATGAAATTGCCTCCTGATGATCCCTTTGTAGTCACCAAAAAGTCCATCACCATTGCTTTTGATTCACTACGAACAGGATTGAGCCTTGCTATAGGTAATTGGCAGGGCAATCCTGAATCAAATCCTGTTCTTCGAGAACAAATAAAGGACAGTTACGTAAAGAAATGGACTTTGGGCCTAACTCAACCCCAAAATCTAGCTTTTGAGAAGAGTATTATCCAAGTTCATATAAGGAGATAACTTATTTTCATCAATCATCAATGTGAGACTTTTTCATTCTTCAACAGTTACAAAATAATGGCTTTCAAGTTTAGATAAATCCTAGAATTAATAGAAATGGGAAATCCGAAGTCTTATTAAAAAATGGGAGTAGGGGATGGAATTACAAGGTGGGAATCGAACTTTCATCAACAAGAAAATTCAAGTAATAGACCAACTGAGCTACTAAGACAATGTGGGAATCCGGAGTCAAATCCTATTTTCCCGAAAACAAATAAAGATTCAGAAAAATGGAAATGAACCTTGATATTAAAACTTGCAAAACGATCATTTTTAAATTCAGAGAAATCCTGGAATTATATAAAATAGGCAAGCCAAATAGTGTTTTTTTCATAAACAAATAAAAGTTTAGAAAAATGTAAATTTACAACAAAAATAAAATGGAGCCTCACCTCAATTGTTAGCAAATTAACAGTAGGATATATTCTATATTTTTATTTATCCAACACAATAACAGGGTAATGGCAGATTTATAGCTGGTTGAAGTAACACAAAAGTTTGCTTGGCTTGTAAGTCCATGAAACTGAAACTTTGGCTTCACATTGGGGAATGAAGCACTAATATTATAAGCTTATCTCACTTATTTTACATGTATATATATTTGTTTCTTTCCTAGTTAGGTGACTCTATATTATAAATGTATAACTTACCTATACGAAAACCACATATACATCAAAATCCATGCTAGAGTTAGAAGTTCGGACACAAATTCGATTGCATTTAATAATTTTTACCCAAATGGTATATTTGTGTTAAGAAAATATATTAATATGCACAAATATTAAATTTAGAATAGATTGTTATAACTACTTAATGTTGTCATTCTAATTAATAAATTTAAAGTCCAACAGAAAAAGTTCATTTTCTCGTATATTTACTCCATTTTAAAAATGGTTAGTGGTAGTGTTTAAGACATTATTCTCTACTTTTTTACTGGGTAGAAAAAAAAATTATTCTTCATGATTCAACTAATTAATTGATTAAATTGTTTTATTCATAATTAGAGAATCAATACTTAATTTATTCTAGTGAAAAATTATTTAAGTCAGATTCATGAATCTGTATTTTATATATATTGTGGAGGCCATTATTGGTTAAATCAGATGCATGAGCAACCAAAATAATCCAATTGGGATGGAGTTTTTAAATTTTTTTTTTTATGTAGTCCTTCTTAATTACCAGGCATAAATTCGTCCTTGACGTATCGTCCAAATTTATTCTGCATTTTGGAAAGAATTCAGTACAAATTTTACTTGTTTGCCTATTGCTAATGTTCGCTTTTACTCGTTTAATTTAAACTTTATGGTTACTTTAAAAAATGATAATTGACATAAATATTTATCATAATATTTATATTTATTGACGTTTAATTTAGACATTAAAAATAAGTTGAAGAATAAATAATTAATATTGAAGGTAAAATATGAAGAAAAGAAAAACATGTTTTTTTATATGCTAAAAGTATAAATAAAAATGGTAATGTATTTTTTAATATAGACTGATATTAAATTTGTCAGATTATTCAATACACCAGTTAGTATTTCCAAATACTCTCTTTGTCCAATAATATTTATCCACTATTGATCTGACACACTCTTTAAGAAACAATAAATAATAAGTGTAATGTTACTATATTATTCTTTGACTTTATTAAATTTAACGTTTTGAGAAATGTGTTAGATGATAAATAGTATTTAATAGTAAAGGTAAAATAGACACAATAGCTAAATTATTTCTTGATTTTTTAAATTGAACAAGTATTATTACACAACTATTTTTAATATAATAGACAACTATTGTTGGACGGATGGAGTAAATTGCGAAGCTTTTTTGACCAACTTGGAGTGAAATTGACATAAATGTCTACTGTCTATCCCCTCTTCTTTCTTTTTTTGGGTGACATTATGAGCATTGGGAAATGTTAGTGGTAGCAATAAAAGCAGCTAATAAAACCTCAATAGAAAAATTGTTGAACTGAAAGCCGGCCTTAATAACCTAATGGTAACATTGGGCATGACTTTGACGTTATTACCCTTTTAAGGTGGGATGGCCTTGTGCAATTGAGATCAGATTAGAAATGAAGATATTTGAGACTAAGTTAAGGTAGGAGTGACCTTGGTGGGGGACAAAATGGTGGAAGTAAGACTGAGATGGTTCGGACATATGAAGAGAAGATGTATAGATGCCTTCCGTGAGGAGGTGTGAGAGGTTTACTATGGATGGTTCATAAGAGGTAAATGTAAACTGAAGAAGTAATTAGACATGATATGACACAACTTCAGCTTAACGATACATGACTTTATATGAGAGCCTTGAGAGGCTAATCCTGGATCTGTCGCTGATGAGAGGCTATGATAACATGAATTATAGTAGAAAGTTAGTAGATAGTTAAACATTGTCTTACTCATTATTCCATCTTCGTATCATTACTTTTATAATTTCTTGTTCTTTGAGTTTTAAATATGTCCATGTGAATTGTGACAAACATTTTGAGACTCGGGAGTACAAAGCAATATCTTGACAACATTCTAACAAAATGTGAATAGTGAAAATGTTGCAGCTTGATTTCTAATTCTAAACTTCTAATTACTTAGTTA